CACCCCGTATTCACCCGGCCCCATTGCCATCCCTATTCATGCATTAGTGATTCAAGGTAAGCATAGGCAAATATCTTGTATTATATTAGCAGCCTTGATTGTCAATGCTTGAAGTAACATTATACTGATGGTAGTTAAGTTTTTGCGACTTAGACTCCGAATAATATTAGAGAAATTGATAATTTTTTGGCAAAAGTACTCATTACCTCCCTAAACTTGAAACTTTTTATACAGTGTACACCTAAACTAAATTCCGTTTTAATTACCCCCCCCCCCCCGAACTTGTTTATTCCTCCGTCGCGTACACCTTTTTCGTCCACCTGCTCCTATTATGACTACACGCGCGCGATAGCTGGCAAAAGTGGTGATGTGGATTTCCACCTGGATAAATAATAGCCACCTAGATAAATTAATATTGAAAAAAATAAATTTCTTAAATTTAAAATTCATTGTTTAAAAGTTATTTTTGAATAAGGGCTGATTTCACGGAACTCCTTGAATTTCAAATTTGTCAGAAATTCTTACCAAATAAGTGTTAATCTTTGTTTCCTTTTACTTTTTCATTTACATTTTGCCCTATTTTTCATTTAAAATATGCCAAATATTAAAAGAAAAATGGAGATTTTACGTTTTTTTACCGTTGTAGCTTTGTGATGTGGCAAAAAAATTACTTCCTCACGCGCCTAGTAGAGTGTGTTGTCAATTTCTACGCCAGGTGGACAAAAAAAGTGTACGCGATGGAGGAATAAACAAGTTTGGGGGTAATTAAAACGGAATTTAGTTTAGGTGTACATCGTATAAAAAGCTTCAAGTTCAGGGGGTAATGAGTACTTTTGCCTAATTTTTTATGTAGTGATCACACTATCAAACAAGCTTAGACCATGAGGCTTCAATGTTTTAAAAAGTGAAAAGTACAAAAAGGCAACAAGATCAATGGGATTGAAGCAAAAATCTAGAACTAAAGCACACACTTCTTTAATGTTAATTGCACAAAAAAGCAATAAGATCTATCGGCTTGAAGGAAAAAGCAAGAACCCAAGTGCATACACTCCTGTGAAGTAAACT